CAGATTACACACACACACACACACACACACACACACACACACACCACACACACACACACACACACACACCACACACACACACACACACACACACACACACACACACACACACACACACACACACACACACACACACACACACACACACACACACACACACACACACACACACACACACACACACACACACACACACACACACACACACACACACACACACACACACACACACACACACACACACCACACACACACACACACACACACACACACACACACACACACCACACACACACACACACACACACACACACACACACACACACACACACACACACCACACACACACACACACACACACCACACACACACACACACACACACACACACACACACACACACACACACACACACACACACACACACACACACACACACACACACCACCACACACACACACACACCACACAACACACACACACACACCACACACACCACACACACACACACACACACACACACACACACACACACACACACACACATGCAAACACACCAAAACAAAACAAAACTATCTCCATCTCAGTCCACAACCAATGCAATTAATTCCTTCTCACATGGTGTCAGGGTAATGACCAGATATGGTTATTTCTTTCTTGCCAAAGTCTTTGGTACCAATGACAAATTGCTAAAAAAAACTCAGAAAACAGACGATCAGCCTTGCCTGGCTCTCCTGGCTACCACTAAGTATTCTGCCAGCTCCACTCAGGCCCAAATATTTCAGCGTTATGCCACATACAGCCTTTATTTTGACACATGACCACATCACTGATGACTCCAGCTGCTGCAAGCTTCGGTAAGGATTGCATCAATCAGTGCTCTGTCCTCCATTACTTTTGATATTTTTCACCGCTTACCAGCTACTCCTGCTTCTTAATCCGATAAGTGTAAACGCGGGCAGCCATAAACATGCCTGTTTTTGTTGACGCATCCCAGTACACCGCTCAAGAGCGGAATGCTCAGCGTGCAAAACACGTGAAGGACCATCTACCACTGTTCCTTTGCTTTCAAAAACATCAAACGTCCGTGACCAAGGCCAAAATCGGTCACAACGCAACGGGCAAAACCAAAACAGAGCAGAAGAACCTTGACTACCACATGCCATGCCGCATGCTACGGGCGGTGCGTCCGTCTGACGTGTCTGACACTGATGCGTCATGAATTGTCACGGTTAATTCGGAAAATACACTGCAATATTTGTATTTGCTCTCGATATCCATGATTGGCAAGGACGGAAAGCACTTTATTAGCCTTTCTAGCGACAAAATCTCTATAAGATGCAAAAATGTACAGAAAAACGGCTTTAAACTGCAAAGTCCCAAAATTACCTTAAATCATGACACAGCCCCTGGTGTGTAAGGCATAATATTCTTTACCAACGCAGGAAAAAGGATGCCAACCATGAGCCGCGGAAAGAGGCGCGGGTGTTTCACCGCGCCGGGGGGCCCAGACGATAGCCTTGGCCCAGGCGGATCGTGGCATGTGTTGGTAGGAGGGGTCAGCCAGTCCAACTGGATAAGTGGGCTAGCTTGGAGTTAAGCATAATTCATGAGCCTCATGCTTAGTTGTAAAAGAAATACTCACAACCACATATGCTGCATATTTACACACACAAAACGTCGTCGAACTGGGAAGGGGGAAGAGGAGCAGGGATATATAAGATCATGTGGGCAAATGGTGGTTTCCGTCTAAGCCATAGCCCGATGTGCCCTCACCTTTTGTACCAAAATATCATGAATGGATAAACTATTGCCTGGGCCTCTTTGCCATGTGCATACAAGTGTAGATAAGTACAGTCAATTTTCTACTAGTTTAACTTTATAGTTAAAGAAAACATGTTTGTCATGTCCAATGGTGCTTAATGTTGCAGTCATTTCAGAGCATTCTTGATGCATGTAATTTTATTTTAATACATATCTCAGAGATTGTCAATGGGAGTGAAAGGATGAAGAAGTCAAAACAGTCCAGCATCAGCTTGTTCTTTGACAAATGGTAAGTAAGATTGCCAAAGAAGCACATATCCCTATATAGTTAAAGCCTACAGCCTTTATTTCTCACATCACTGTAGCATGCTCACTGCAGGTCATTGTTGCTGTGGCTGCTTCAGGCTTGGGCAACAGTGAGAAACAAATTACTGAATTTGCCACGCATTCCTGGCACCTAAAATGGACAAATGCAAATTTTAGAGAAAACATTTCAACTCATCTTGGTGTTGAAACTTTGCTTTCCTGCAGTAATGCCAGGTTCTAGAATGCCTTGTGTCCTCAGAGATCTGTCACTACTGTGTGTAGCCCTCATTACTTCTCTATTGTTCCTTTTTCTGAGTAGCTTAATTTTGTATTATGCACATGTTGGAACTTTGTGAGAAGCTGACATGCTCTGGACTATCATGACAGGTGATGACCATTCTTGACTTCAGATCAAGGCTGTTCTGTTTTTGCAATCAATCATATGTGCATTTGGCGTGTCTATAGTCATTGTGGGCATAAACCCCAATGTCGATGAATGAAATTACCTCTTGACTTCATGTTCCCCATATCTTTGTCTTATGCCTATGATGTGCTCCCTGTGCTTTCCTATGATAATCGGTTCAAGAGGTTCAAGTTCAAGAGATTTATGGCATGTTTGGACAATGACTGGTGCATTATGGGGTAAAGGTATCCATTGCTATTTTCTGGAAGGTGCCCTTGGCTCTGGCCATTGCCATGCACCCAACATCTTTACAGTCCTACTGCCTCCGGATCCTGACCAATGTGGAGATCCATCTACTTCCAGTAAGTGTAGCTGATAGTGTCGTTTTTAAAGTATGTATCTCGTGCCATAGTGCATCATTTGTGCAGAAGTATTGTTATGTTTCAGGGAAACCAACGGAACAGGGTTTGATTCCCTGTGCCCCCGGCCCATTCTGTGAAGGGGAGAGCCAGGCGATGCCATAAAGTCTCAGTAGCTGAGTGTGTCATGTGGCTCTAATCACACTCCCTGCCATGGAGTTCATCATTCCTCACCAGTGATGTTCTTGGTAGGATACGGATAGTGAAGGGTAAGCTGCATGCCACCTGCCGGTAGGCATATTAAACTGGCCAGATAAAGAGTGGCTCGTGTTTGAGGTGGCGACTCCTTTGGATTTTTCATTTTCTACCATCTTGGTATCTTTCACTACAATCCACACAGGTTTTCATGATAGCAGGAAATCTTCTCAACATTGCTGGCGTGGCAAGTATATACATTATAGTTTTTATGGTGTTGGCCTCCGTCTTGTGGAAAAAGCACGGTCCAGAGGCTTAAACTATTGGTCTAAGGGTTTAGAGCAGTCCCAATGATGGATGATATGTGTCAAATCCGGTTTGTTACATGTAACAAAAAAGCAAGCAGTCGTGACGCCGTCGGGCGCGCTGGTACTCCGTCGTTCGCAAACAGCATGTTTAGTATACAGTCGAGGCTTCCCCTTGAAATATCTTAATTTTTTATCTTTCGGTGGAGGCAAAATGTTGGAAGCCTCTTCACAGCATGCTGGCACCAGTGGCTTCACCCGCCAAATAGTCAGAGAACCACTTGGTATCAAGATATACACTCATTAGGTTGTAAGCGAAAAGCCTTGGCGATGCGCGGCATCTAGACATTTTCAAAGACCCCAGAAAAGTAAAGTCAAAATATCACCATTGCCCTTGGCATGGATGACGAGATCAGAGATGGCGCTGAAGACTGTCTCGGTGGAGCGATGTTTTTGAGATCCATCTTGCGTAGAAGTCAATGGTTAGTGTGTCTCCAAGGTGGGGATCAGCTTTGTCTACGTGTCGCTCAACAATATTCATGTTAAGTAAAATGGAGATGGTGCGCGCATCGGTAGGGCTGCTGTTGGCTGCCTTTCTCACTGGCGTGGATATGATAAGGGCGCGCTGTTACGCAGCTCGGACAAATCCAGTGGTCAGCCTATAATTTGCCTTGTTAAGAAGGGCCAGACCGGAGCCTGATAAGAATGCTTTGTCACATTGTCACACTCGCGCCATCTTCTCCGGATGATTTCGACGGCTTTATGCTAAGCAGCTTCCCAGGTTGTAAATGTCTGCCGGCTGGATCTTAGGAGCACTAGCAGTCGCTCGAGGCAAGTCCATCAGATTTTATTGAGTATGAATCAGACACTCGGGTTGCGTCTCGTGCTGCTCGAATTAATTGGCTCGAAAGATTTCGCCGCGTCGTTCGTCGCTGTTTTGTGACTGACACCGTGTTTTATCAAAAGACACTCATGCCTGAATAATAAAAAAAATAGGAAGGTAAGTCTGTCGACATGTGAAAACGTCAGAAAGCCCGTTTTCTGTGCGACATCAGACTCCACAGGCCTACACAGTTTTGTGGAAAGCTGAACCATCTGGAATCAGCTGTACAGTGCATCTCTGGTTTTAATCGGAGCATCGTATCCTTCCAAAGATCCATCTGATCCTGCCACCGACCGAGCCGAGTCACCTGATTCCTCCGTTGACCGCGCCGAGACGTCTGCCGATGCCACAGGACTGTCCCGACACCGGCGCACCCTCCAACCCGAGTGGCGGCGCCGCTACCCCTGGCTGGAGCACAGCACACTTTTGGAGGGCGTCCTTCGCCGAAAGAGCGTCGCAGCAGACAGTCAGGGGCTTCTGTGGAGCGCTGCAAAGCGTGACGCCGCCCTCACGGCTCGAGGATTTTGTGCGTAGAGGCGGGCGCTGGAACGCTTTCGAGCCCACGAAGCCAGCGCCTGCCACCAACTGGCTATACAAAGCCTGGTCACCGCCAGCGGACCAAGTAGCGTGGCAGCGCTCGCCGGCGTCGGCAAGGCGAGGGAGCAGGAGGAGGCGCGGCACGCTCTGCGGCAGATCTTTGACGCTGTCATTTACTGCTCAAAGCAGGGCTTGGCCCTCCGCCGCAGGGACGAGGAGGCCGGAAATTTAATTCGGTCTTTGACGACCATGGCGCAGCACGATCCCGTACCGAAGCGGTGGCTCGCCCGGCGCAAGGAGAGCCGGATGCACTTCACCAGCCCAGAGGCACTGGCGGAGGTGCAGCGGCAGCTGGCTCATGCCGTGATCAGGAGGGTGGTGGACGAAGTGGGTGTGGCAGAATCCTTCGCCGTCGTGGTGGACGAGACGGCAGACGTGGCAGGGCGCGAGCACATGGTCATCTGCCTGCGCTTTGTCACAGAGGCGCTGACCGTCAGGGAGACGTCCATTGGATTGTATCAGGCTGACTCCACCACGGCCGCAGCACTGTTTGGTCTCATCCAGGATGCCCTCACTCGTCTTCAGCTCCCGATGGACCGAATTCGTGGTCAGTGCTACGACGGCGCTGCCAACATGGCCGGCGCTTTCCGAGGCGTGCAGGCCAGAGTGAAGGCGGTAGAGCCGCGCGCAGTGTTCGTCCACTGCACGGCCCACCGCCTGAACCTGGTCTGCCAGGAGGCACTGAACGGCGTGCGAGAGGTCCGGGACGCCATCCAGGAGGTCGGTCGACTGGCATCTTTTTACCGCGACTCGCCGAAGAGGATGGTTGCGCTAGAGCACGCTGGAGCCCAGATGTCCTTGCGTCCGCTGTGCCCCACCCGATGGACCTGCAGCGAGGCGTGCCTGACCTCCGTGGTCAAGCAGTACGGGCCCCTGGTGACCAGCCTTGATAAGCTCGCGGACGATGCTAAGGTGCGTCCGGAAGTGTCAGCCACTGCTAGCGGCTTTGGCAAAACCCTCAGAGACTTTGAGTTTTTCTTTGGCCTGCGCGTTGCTCTGCTCCTGCTCCAGGTGACCACACCCGCCATGCGCACAATGCAGGGACAGTCGCAGTCGGTGTCTGCCAACCTGGGGGTTGCACGTGCTGTCAGGGATGTCGTCCTGTCCCAGCGTGACCGCTTCGAACGCCTTTGGGCGGAGCTGACGTCCGACGCGGAGCGCCTGGGAGTGGGGTGTCCCAGGCTGCGACGCCCGTTTCGACCACCTCGGCGACTGGACGGGGGCTCCGAGCCGCACCAGCATGCCTGTCCCAAAGGCCGCTACCGCCAGGTGTACTGCGAAGCCGTCGACTGGTTGGCCGGCTCCATCAGCGGTCGGTTCGACTCAGATGAGCCCACTTTAGCCACGGCCGAAAAAGCGCTCCTTACGGCGAAAGAGGACGCGCTGGTGGCAACCGCCACCTTCTACAACCTGGACCTGGAGCGACTCCGCCTCCACTGCCAGATGTTGGTGGATGTGGCGTCAAGCCAGAGAAAGGCACCACTGACCTCCCTCGACGACGTGGTGGCCCTACTGAGCGATGAGGGCCTGCGGCAGGTGCTGCCAGCCGCTACCTCATTGCTGCGTTTGGTCTTGACCGCCCCAGCAACATCGTGCGCGGCAGAGCGGGCGTTCAGTCTTCTTCGTCGGCTGAGGGATGGCTGCGCTCTACCCTAGGCCAAGAACGGCTAAATCACGCCGCAGTGCTAGCCACATACCCAGACATGGTGGACGCCCTGGATCTACAGGCCGAACTGAAGCAGTTCGCCTCAGCGTCAAGTCAGCGGTGCAACACTTTCGGCCGCTGGTAGGTCATAAAGTGCTTGCACCTACCGCCGCTGTCCAGCGCCTAGCACCCGCCGCTGTCGTCCAGTGGTATGCCGTCGCCGCTACGACTGCCCAGTGTTGTGCTGTCACCTTCGTAGCTATATGCCACTGTTGAGCCGCCGCCGCCGTTGCCTCTACAGTGCTGCACCAACGCTTACGACAGGTCAAGCGAGGCTGCTTTTTAAGTTTGCGAGAGCGCGATGGATATCCTTCCCTGAAGGCAGGAAGAGAGGCTCCATTTTCTTTTATGGGGACTGAAACGTGTTGCTCAAGACTGAAAATACACACCCAAAATCGAAGGACTTTTGTGATTGTAATTAGGAGCTCTGTGATCCCACTCTGTCCATTGGCTGCTTTGGGAGACTGGGAGAAGTGGTATGGTGGTAATGACCTTCCACAACGCGATTTGGAGGTAAAAACCTGTTTTTTTTTCGAAAAATGGCAGGTTTTGTCAAATGTGGCGTGCGTCCAACTCGCTAGCATTTCTGCCTTTAGTTCATAAGAACTGAAATTTTCTCTATAAAACGGAAAGGATCAAAACGAAAACTAAGTGACCGGAATGCGATTAGTTTTTTTTTTGGGGGGGGGGGATGAGTGGAGGCCAACCTATGAATCGGGCATTTGTTTTTGCCTATGCCTGGCGGCTGAATCGACCATTGGGTTGGGCCCCCCCAAAGTTTTCAAGAAATCGACACCCCTGGGCAAACCAGTAATTATGTCAGTTCAGCACAGCTGTGTGATCGCATTAGATGCGTTTATTGAGACATGAAAGGCACTATAATGTAATGGAAATGTTTGGCATGATGCAATGTTGTGCACATACCTCGTGACATTTCACCAAAGGGGTTACCTGCCTGCACTGTTTAGAAAAGGTCATCCGATGTCAAAGTTGGCTGAGTTTTCCAGCATAATTCAACTTATGTGAAATTATAAGCTATGTTTTTCCAGATCAGAAGAATCTGTGCGTGGCATATTGGTGGGCTGTGCTGAGGGCGACCCTACCTCACCTCCACCTAATGTATGTTTCTCACTGTGTCTGGACACCTCATTTTCATTTAAGACTGTTTAAAGTTGTAGTTTTGTGTCTTTCCTTCAAAAGTCCAGCCAATGTCATCAAATAATGCCCAAAGGGGGTGGTCATGATGTGATAGTCACTTTTACCTTAGTTTGTCTTGTAATATTCTAGCAACAATATGAGAAGGGCAAGCCAACATTTGCTAGTGCATTTCAACATTGATGGAGGGGGCCACCATTACAAAATGCAATTGCTTCATGCAACTGCATGCAGTATAAACCTGACATTGAACAATAACCTGTGCTTGGTAAATGCATCCAATGTAAGCAGCAAATGTTGTAATTAACGTATTTACTGGGTGCAATGGTTTGTGTTGCACCTGAAATGTACACGTAGTCAGCAAGATAAATCATCTATGATTTATGCTAAGTTTCATACTGAAATAATTAGATCACATAGGATACAGGGCTATCAAATTAATTTCAACATTATAGAATGTCTGTTGATGCAAGAGAAATTTTCAGATTTGACATTTACAGAAACTGATGTTTTGTGTCAAATATTGTAATATTCTGAATGCTAGTTGTAACCCTATCCCTAGCACTGTATCTGTTACACATCATTACATAATTTATGTCAGCACAATTTCCTCGTAACAAAATAAGCAAATGTTGAGTACAAGGTGGCACATAAATATTATATCAATACAACATGTTGCATTTATATAGAAATGTGCGCAACTGGGGCACGGTTTGGAGCAATCTAAGATCCATTGATAGTTTGCATTGCCTCGGGCCAAGGCTGCATATGTTTCAGATACTGATGCACCTTCTAAATCTGTCTAAGCTGCCCATTTCACTTTAGCTGCTTACGTGTACCTTTCCTACTCTGAGATCAATGGATGAAAGTTAAAGTTATAAATTACAAGTCTTGGTGAGGAATAGAAAAAATTATGTCATTTTGAAGTTCCAAATACTTATTTTGCAGGCTTTGTAATGTGAAAGCAAGCTTTTTTAGGTTCAGTTATTCAGTGAAGCCTGTGAAAAAATGTTTGTATTTACCTTATGCCAAAAACCCTTCGTGCAAATGGTTTTAGGGAGCATGGTTACTTAGGCTATAGGTCTGTCAAGTGTTTCAGCTCTTCAACATCAATCAAAAAAGTGTTATAAATTGTGTCATATTGAGGCCTTTGTGCAGTATAGCTCGCGATTATGGCACTTATCATTATAATGCTTACCATCCCGCTTTTAAGCACAACGGCTTCCCATTCAGCGGTGCTTGCAATGTTACTTTGCTATCGTTGCCGCGCTGGTCCTGAGGCGGCATTGCCGGCCCTGCACAGCAGTGGCAGGCGGCATTACAACTTAAGGACCTAGCACATTGCCTGGTCCTACCTCTGGGCGCGCTGGACGGCCAGCTTTAGACCGCTACCGCCGCGATAGGTTCCATGCGTCAGGCACAATAATGCTATACGCCCCAGCCATAGGCTGTTGCATGTAGCCCGACGGCTGCATAACACCTGTCAGGTATATTTGATAGACATAAAAAAGATCTCGTGTATTTCTTGTAATAGCTCGCAGCACATTTCACAGCACAGTAGATGCACCTTCTGGCTATACATACTATGCATATATATGCATACTTTATTTATTTATTTACATATATATATATATATATATAATCATACTATTGTTGCACGCAATAGTTATATCGCCAGCCAATGGCCGTATTCACTCCGTGTTCCATCTCAATTCTGCTGAAAAGAGTTGGCGGCAGCGGGATTCCATCCCACGCCTGGACATCGTGGCGCGTGCATGGGTCTACGCTTTGCCTAATAGCTCGAAAATGAGCGCCACGGCGCACACTTTTGATGTTGGAAATCGGAAGAGAATTGTTCAAGCTTCATCTCTATGCACTTTTTATGTATATATATATGTTCAAGATGTAGAAAGCCGCGGGCCTGAAGGTCATTTTAACATGGGAACCCTATGGCTAGTCGTGAAATGTGCACCGTTGCTGCCATATTTTATACTAGACCTTGGACCCCGGTCCAACTTCGGGTGTACGATTAAGCGATGCAACAGCAGAAGCGTGCTTCGATCTCCTCCATGCATTGTGCGCGAAACGCATTTTAGTACGTGCAAGGATTAAAAACAGCGGTCGCGTAGAGTTTTAAGATGTGTCTTACACGTTAGTCGGCGGTCAAAATATACCCCAAGGTATCTGGCCACAGGCTTATTTGGGAGGCGTTACCCATACAAACGGATGCAGATCACTGCATTGCCAGCTACGACAGAAATGCATGGCTACAGTCTTGTTACTCGAAAACCTGAAGCCGTTTATTATACTTCACGTCTTGACACAGTCCACAGTCAACTGGAGGTTCATTCCATCGATGATGCCCTTGCTGAGCTACTCCAAACATTCACTGTTTGGAGTAAAATTACTATTCGCTTTTAGTATTCACACTATTAGTATTCACTGCATCAGCGATAAAAAGGACACGACTCATAGACTGCGAAAGCCCAAACCCGATGTCGTTTATCATAACAGCAGACAAAGCTATGCTGAGGACGCCGCCTTGGGGCACACAGTGAACTTGACGGTGCCTCTCAGAGTGCACGTTCCCAACACGGATGCGGAAACAACGGTCAAATAAAACGCTTTAACGAAAAGTGCCCCTATTGCCACGTATACCTATATAGCTCGAAAAGAATACACTGACGTCATGGGGTGTCATAGGCGCCCTACATGTCAAAGAAAACCGCCTATGTGTCGGTTTGCTTTAAATCTCATACGAACCGCAGTGTCGAAATCTAAAAGACTGTCCACCGTGCTGCGATTGTTTCTAAAACAAAAACGTGCGTTTGCAAAAACCCTGTAATGTTCGAAAAACCAAGTTCAATCGGCATTAACCATCTTTTCCATCAGCTTAGAGAGCAATGAAGTGAGAAAATGGGTCTATAATGGGATGGATTTAAACCACTTTTATCTGGTTTTAAAAGAGCAACGACCGTAGTTTCTTGCCAAGAACTTGGGAATTCACCTCTGGTCCGAAGGGAATTAAATACTACTAAAAGTGCACGAGCACGCAAGACGGAAAAATCTTGAGGATGTCGCTGAGCACAGTATCTGGACCTTCTGGCACGCCGCGAAGCTTGGCAATCACCGATTCCAGCTCGACCAGGGTGAGTAAGTCATTATAGGAGCGTAATTGACTCGTCGAAAAGCCCACTGCGGATTGCTCATATCACGTTCGATGCCGCACAAACTGTGGGTTTATGTTGCCACCCACGCTGCGGTGAGCCAACTCCCAAACAATATCGTTCGCAACATCCAACCGGCGCGTAATAGCTTGCCCGTTCACATACAGCACCGGAAGAACTATGGATGAAAACTGCCCCGATATACACTTGACCCGAGGCCAAACCTGCGACGTCGGCGTGAGCCCGTTCAGCGTGCTTACGTAAGCGTGCCAGGAAGCACGTTTCGCCTCCCTTACCGGGCAGGGGTAAAAAAACTGTAGACACTCTCCGACCGGATTGCGATGCCAGATTTTGTCTCCTCGGCTTTTTGAAGCCGGTGAATGCATAATCGTATTGGTCAACTTTTCAAGGGAGCTTCGGTCGGATCGCAACAGCATCGTAGTTTTACTTACTATATCCTTGGCCAGATACATGTTTTGCCAGAACGCTTTCAACACCACGTAGTTGGCGACGATTTTTTGTATTTACGCTGAATTCACCTTGGATATGGACAAAATCGCGCCGACATGGTGTCAGTACAAAATGCCAAATACGCCGCGTACAGTTCAGCACACAACGAAACCCTGTCTACAGTACTTCAGCACTCGCCGTGAGCTCCAGAACGTTAACCGCGCATGCAAAATTTTATCCAAGGGCTGACTCACGATGTCAACACTCCTTTCCTCTTCAACTATTTGAAAAGGCAGGAGCGATATGACAGGTATGCTCTATGCCGGGCGATCACCGTTCCCGTGAGCAGGTGCTTCACGTTGACAGACCGCCTCACGAAGTCAAATTGGTGACACTTCTGAACAGCTCTTATGGGATGTTCGGCACCATCAAGCTCAGGACCATTCCATCGAATCGTGAGCTCCTTCGTGGCATTGTCATGCCTCAGCCACCGATGCATGAAGAAAACCTCTTTGAGGACGGTGCCCATGGACTCAACCACACTTTCGACATGGCTGAGCAGCCACGCGCGGACGACTAGACTGACGAAAGATTCGATCGAGCGACCACGCTTCCACAAAGCTCTCAAGAGAGCTTGGTTGGAGCTAGTGCGTTCCTCACTACGCAGGATGCTGATTGCTTCGCGAACGCTGCAGCTCGGCGCCGCAGCCGATGGCGGGATCAGCTTGCTGGACACCAGATGTCCGATGGCTTCGGAGACTGTGCTCACCTGGGTGTCGAATGATTTTGTTAGGTTCGGAAACCCTTTAGGTCACCAACCGACCGGACATAGAGCATGTTGTGCAGGAGCACCCTGTTTGCTGTTCCTTTTCTTCCACCACCCGCGCCAGCTCCCTCTCTCCTTGCCTTCAAGTTGCGGACCAGGGCGGCACAAGACGCCACGATAGGACGGACCTGTGGATTGCAGTTTGCTTGAGTCCGAGGGAGATCGAATCGCAAAGGGATAAATCGTTTCGAGCCAGGTTCAGAAGTCACAGGTGGTGTATGAATTTCGTGCAGAAATTTGGCTGCTTGGTGATTGTCTTTTTCGGGTGCGTTTGTCGGCCCAATAAGCTGCAGGCTTGAACAAGGATACAGGTTAAAACTAAACACCACCTTAACAATTATACGCCCAGTAGTATGGAACTGTGGAACTGTGGAAACTGTGGAAAACTGTGGAAGAGGCAGGTTAATGACAAAATATCAGGAGCACCAGAATTACCCCACAACAATGCCCTGGTTTCTTGGAAACACCCAAACTGTCAATGAAAATTGGCATCCCCATTCAATATCAATATCTAAGCACTGCATGATAAATAAAACAAAAGTGTTAAATGGACAGTGGTAGACATACTTTTACTGAGACCAAAATGGATGTGAAATATTCTGAGCATGAATTCCCATGATGAGGCAAAAATATTTTGGCAACAGAGTACAGTATTGTTACATGACTGACAACCCAAAATTGACTTTGTCATCACACCATCAAATCCATATCTATGCAGGGGCCATTTTAAGATCAACAGTCAGGACATGCTGCATTTCAGGTGTCACAAATCCAACCAATGCAGCTCATCTTAGTACCTGCAGTTTTCTGACTGGAGTTTCATGGGTAATCAGAACAGGGATGCAGAGATGCTGGTTCAGAAGTGGCATCATCGTGGGCTCTACTCACTGTGCAGCTTGCAATTCCTGGCAAATGGCAAGACAATAACTTGATAAAAAAAATATTATAAGACATTACACACCTTGGACACAGCACCAATGTCATATGAAAATACAGGTTGGGCACATATCATACCATGAAATCCAAAGATTGCTTAATGAAAGTGGTGGTGTATATCACAAAACAGCCTGATTTTTAATGGATGTTGTCACTTCCCCACTCAATATCAATACCCAAGCAGTTGTTAAAGGATGATCAAATACTTATCTGGCAAACAATGGGGAAGCTGGTGGTAACTGTAACTGAGGGCAGTATCTGATAAATTTGAATGAAGATGATTCATGACAAAAATGAGTCCTTAGGAACACTGTCATCAATCAGCTGCATGTGTAATGTAACAGTACTGCAACTGCAATATTTGTTAAACAATGCACAGCTTGCCAGGAAACCTTAAACCACCATTTCATATCTATCTTGAAATTCATCTGAAAGTTTTGCCATTTTAATAACATTTCACACTGAATAAAACAGAAACCCAAGTCATTTACCATCAATACCCAACCACCACAAACAGCATATATGACAAACTCACCTCCAATCTTGTCTGCAGAAACTGATAGCACAGCTAGACTGGATGACCTACTTGGCATCTCAAAAGTGTTGACGCCTTATTCTCTGCCATCTGTGCCACTGTTCATTCCTGTGGAAAATCAAAGCCAATCTACTTTACAACCCTTGACAAACCTTTCAAGCAAAACATTTAAATAAGCAGAGGCTATTATTGGCAAAGTACCTGTAAGTAGACATGCTAACATCACTGTGAAAACAATGAAATACCACTGACTACACATGAAGTGACATCTCAGCTGATGAGCATGATTCATTAAAAAAACTATTTCTTCTTATTTTTGGGGGTGAATCTGGCTCTTCCACACTTCCTTGTTTTATACGATGCAGTCTAATTTTAATCAATGGTGGTAACCACACCAAGCTGAAGATGACTATGCACTTAACTGCCCATACAAACCAGGAAGTCATGATTTGTTACACTGCATCCTCTGCCACCAAATCAGTGATTCTGGACTATTTCATCCACTGTGTTTGATAGGTGTGTGGGCATATTTGGTCATGCCTATCTACCTGGGGTAAATATTATTAAACATTAGCTACTGTGCAGAATAGCCACTCATACTCACATATTCAATTCAAACTCTTACCTTGGAGCCAAGATTCCCACATTCCACCTGCACCAAAACTTGAATTCTTAAGGACAATTGGCAGCCCTTTGTGCTTAGTGTTCATGTGCCTTTTCAAGTTTCTTCCTTCCCCATTAAAACCACAGTTCACGTGCCCACAGCGCACTTTCATACGTGATGGATGTTTACCCATGCCTGCCAAGTGAACATACAGGCAAAGCTTCAACGCAGAAGATCCAAGGCTATTAAGAGACAAGCGCAAATGTCCCAGCCCAATCGAAAAGTGCGATATATATATTTGTTAAAACACCCAAAACTACGCCTAACCAGTATGCATGTAATGAACGTTACCGACACAGCAGATCGCAACGCCGACCAAGCACGCTGTCTGGCTGTCAGTGGGGCTTTACGACACACTCAGCTGCTGAGGCTATATGGCGTCGCCTGCCTCTCACCCTGGCAGGTAGGGCGGGCACCGCGGGGAATCGAACCCCGTACCTCTGGTTTCCCAGACGCGCAGCGGAACCACTACGCCACCGGCACCCGACTAAGCACGCTAAGCATCAACACGCGCCACATATAGCGTCAGATATGTAACGCTCCGAATGACGCTGAAAAAAGGACTGCTCAGGGAGCCAGGCGGTAAAGGTTAAAATCGCCCGGAAACCTGCGCAAGACAGACCCTTATAGAATTTAACTCTGTCTCGCCGGATGACACCTTCTGGCCACTAGTGGCTGTCTTCTTACTGATGGGGAAACCAATACTAAATTCAACGTCGTCGTGTTTGATGTCATTGTTGTCGTCCGTAGCACCACAGCGAAATTGTTTTAACGTTGAAAAATGGAAAACTAACCTAGCAAGAAAACAGTTACAGTTTGTACGGGTGGCTCCTGGGCAGTTTGATCCTCTATATTTTCTGTCTCCCACCCTGGTAGTCACGTGAGCAGGTTTTTCACCCCTCTACCGCGCACCAAGCAAAGGGTCTCGCCTTCTTAAAGGCTATAAGGTTTTTCACACTACTTCTGGCGCCCAAAGCTCGAAACTCACCGGTTTACGCGCCCGGATGGTGCTCGGATATTCCTCCGTCTGCCACCGAACAGGGATACGTCGGAGAGCGCCAGAAGTGCGTGGGATACAACTATTGGCAAGTCCCTCATGAGGCACCACCTTTTCGCGGTGGGGGGGGGGGGGGGGATTGTGTGCCCCAATGATCCTGCGGGCGGTTGGGAAGGCTGGTAAAGCGCCCCTTCCGGCCGAAGGGGAGGGGCCAGACGAAACGTGCCTCCCGCAAGAGCTCTGACTCGTTCAGAACCCTTACGGGAGGTACGCCACCAGCTTTCAGATCTGATCTGAGTCTCTCTCGGCCCCAGCTTTCCGGTCTTACCTGGGTCTCGCCATACCCCGTTGGGTCGGCAGGTAGCGATGAAGGGATCCTGGTCACTGATGGAGTTGCCCTACGGATCAGTCGGGGCAGCTTACCAGCACGTGGCTTTGGCCCGAATTGGTGATCCTGCGGATGCCTCGTGAAGTCTCCACACGAGGAAATCGGCTTGTCAGGCGACGTGTTTTCGTGACACTGGCTTGGAGGCAAGCAGGCCATTTGACGGGTGTTGAGGGGGGAGCTGCCGGGTGCAGTGTCTGCCTCCTGACGCTCTTCAGGGGCCGCACCTCGGTTTGTTACCAGGGTGCCTGGTTAGCCCCTGCAAACCGAGGCACTGGCGCCCGCAGACTCGTGCCCGGCGTCTCTCGCAGAAACTCTTTTGGCACACTGGTCTGCGTGTAGCGTGCTGGTAGCCCTGGCGGCTCCTCTCTTAGAAGAGGACCGTCCCCGTGTTGGACTCCATGGTGGGCGGGGAACCAGCGCGCCGAATATAAACACATACTCATGGACATTTTATCATCAACCAACCCCCCAAACCCCGACCGTCGTCCTGTGCCACTGCCTCAGCTTCTGGTATTAAGATCCGCCAAGGTAGATGACCAAGGAAAAGAAGAACCACTCCGACTGAACCCATTTTACCGCCAACAAGCATTTTCCATGATCGGAACACCCAAGGATGTCTTTTTGTATACGGATGGGGGCATATAAGTGCATTTAACAGATGAACGCGAGATCCAGCGCATGCTCAAGACGACCACACGCCTACAGTCACACAAGCCGCCGAGGCCGACATCTCGAACGTTTGCTGAATTCAAATAATCTTTGTGTTCTTAACACCAGTCGGCATACCCATATATCTCTGCCGTCCAGTACCACTTAAGTGATATATCTTTCTTTCTGCTCCTCGTCCCTTCTCTGTCGGTTTTCTTGGACCGGTCGGAGAACATTACGTGTGGGAGCGACCATTTCCCAACATGGCTTGGGATGAATGCTGGACACCCAGGCGGGAGGTCTTCCTGCTGGAACTTTCGACGTGCTATTTACCAAAGTTTACCGACGAGTGTCATATAAGAATGCAGCCGAACAAGGGCGAAATTGCAACATCTTTTACGCAACAAGTGACATCCACAATTGTCGACCCTGCAAGGTCTTGCACTGCCTTGACATCACCCGAGCTGCGCAGGATCCCTGTCCCCTGGAGGTGGAATTACTGCAGGGCGGCAATTCTAAAGTGGAAGCGGGAGTTCAAGGTTTGTAAGCGTTCTACAACGAGCAGCAGCCCCATCGCTTTAAAAAAGGCCAGAGCATTGTCGAAACGCACAGTACGCCAGGCAAAGCGTGCACCATGGAGAGAATATATAAATGGTTTCAATCGTCACACCCCGCTGAGTGCAGCGTGACAGCAAGTTAGCCGCATTTCCGGTAGGAGCGTTTCTACTGCACTTCCGGTGTTGAAAGTGGCGAGAATCACGATATTAAACATCCAGAAAGTTTCCAACAGAATGGGTCTCGCATTTGTAGAACGGTGCCGACATGAAACAGATGACCCACACTTTATTCGTTGCAAGGAACAAAGTGAGCAGATGGCAATCGATTTTAGAATTACTGACTCAGATATTTATGACCAACCATTCACTGTCATGGAGCTCTGCACTGCTCTCAAGACAGCTAAGAGTGTGTCCCCTGGACTGGATATAGTCCACAATGACATGTTAAATCACGTAAAAAAGAAGTCCCTCCATGCTTTACTTGAACTTTTCAACTACATATCGTTGCATGATGACTGCCCGGAGTCGTGGCAGGAGGCCATTATAGTCCCGATACAGAAGCCCGGAAAGGATGGTTCCGACTCACTGCACTACCGCCCAATTTCGCTGACATCAGCCCTATGCAAAGTGCTAGAAAGGATGGTAAATGATCGTCTCATATGGTATCTCGCAACTCACGGCTGTCTTTCCAAAGTGCAATGCGGTTTTCGGAAAAGCAGATGCACTACTGACCACTTAACGGTTTTAGGCACAGCTATACGACATTCTTTTAAACGACAACGTCACACGATAGCCATCTTATTTGACATTGAGGGGGCTTACAATACAGCCTGGCGCCATGGCATTCTAAGCAAAGTACACAAATGCGGCCTCCGAGGTCACATGGCACTCTTCATTGAAAACTCTTTACGTCGTCGATTTTCCCGCGTCCGAGTGGGTGGCATGCTATCTGATCGGTACGAACAGGAGAACGGTGTTCCCGAAGGGAGCGTCCTTAGCGTAACCCTGTTTACGCTGATGATCAATGATATCGCCGACTGTCTGCCACCTATCATCAGTCGGTCACTGTTTGCTGACCACTTTGCCATCTGGTGTGTAGCGTGCACATCAACGTCTGCAAAGAGGCAGCTTCAGTTATGCCTCATTCGACTAACTGAGTGGAGCCTAAAGAATGGTCTCAAATTTTTGATCACCAAGACTAAGTGCATGCACTTCTGCTCACGGATTAGAGGCTGTAGAGGCCCGGAGTTGCGACTCAGTGTCTAAGTGTCTAAGTGTCTAAAGCGCATGAACCTCATGAAAGTAATGTGTCGCATGACCTTTGGAGCCGATAGATGCACCCTGTTGAACTTGTATAGAGCTTTGATTCGATCGGTCATCGATTACGAGCTTTAATTCGACGGACGATAGGAGCACTATCCCTGCCTACGATAGTGCTCCTACATCTTCGAAGCAGGTTTTGGACACACTCCACCATACATGTGTTCGTATAGCCACTGGGGCGCTTCGTACAACCCGAAGAAGAAACTTGCTGGTGGAAGCGAATGAACCGCCTTTGCCTCTTGGAGACAACGACTTACTTTGAATTGCGCTACAAAGGTTTCATTATTTCCGAATCACTCAACCTTTGAGTTCATCATCTCTCAGACCTTTATCCGTTCTTCCTGTAAGGGGCGGCCCACGTCAGCGCGGCCGATGTGTCTGCGCGTCCGTGACTGGCTGGGTGAGGCGGATATTACGCTGGATGACATTGCCCCGCACACTCTTTGGGACCCAGCTCCGTGGAGACGTCTGAGTCTGAAGTATGATTCGGAACTTTGTCAGCATCATAAAAATGGCACTTCACCACGAGAGTTCCTCAGCTAGTCGTTGGAACGGATCTCACAATACGTGAACTCATTACAAATATTTACTGATGGGTGGAAGGGCTCAACAGGAGCGGGTATCGCATTTGTTTGCGGTGACCATACCGTAGGTCTCTCTCATCACTTGCCAGTTTTTTCCTCAGAACTGTTTGCTATTTTAACGGCGCCTCAGGACATTGCTTGCCGTCCTGAGAGGGATGTAGTCATTTTGACTGACTAACTTAGTGCACTTTTATCATTACACCTGACGGCGATGTCGCGTGTCCACTGATTTTTTACACGCTCAATTTGGGAGGAACTGGAAAGGCTGGACAACGCTTCCTGCCGTATCACATTTATGTGGATCCCCAGCCTCATAGGGAAAATGGGAAATGAGAAAGCAGACGCCGCACCAAAAGCTGCGGCGTATGAGAGAAAACCAATACCAATGTATGTACCTGCTCGAGATCTGAAGTCAGTCATTTCCAAATACGTCCGCAATACGTCGCAGCACATGTTCGACCAACATCTCCACGCTTTCAGGGAAATCAATCCCCAAAATGGGTGATTGGGAATCCTCCCATCGCCGAAGCCGTTTCCAGGAAGTCACCCTTTGTAGGCTTCAGTTGGGTCATACATATGCAACACACTCGCTTTACTTGCCGCGTAAGGATGTGCCACGGTGTGATAGATGCGGGGACCGATTGTCTGTAGAAAATGTCCTCGTCTCATGCCAGCACCTTGAGACGGAAAAGCAACGGTTTTTTCCTCCAGCGCCCTTTCATCGGTTACTCGGTCGAGGCCCATGTGGTGAACTTATATATATATATATATATATATATATATATATATATATATATATATATATATTATATATATATATATATCTCTCTCTCGTCTCCTCATCTCTCTCTCGTCTCTCTCTCTCGTCTCGTCTCTCTCTACTCTCCTCCTCCTCTCATCTCGCTCT